ACCTACTGGTTTGTGACGTCACGGTGCGGTATCGGCTGTTGATCAAGTCCCAGTGCTGTATCTTGAAAACATTCTTCTTCCAAAATGTTATTCCTTGCTGACCGAAATTTTCCTTTAAAGTTAATCTGCTGATGGTTTGTATTTAGGGCTCCTTATAAAATTTTAAATTATTTTTTTTTCAGTATTAAAACATTTTTGATAATGATTTAAAAATGGCCTGAAAAGGAATGAAAATGGTTGTTTTAATGGTTATTGAGTCAGATATGTGGCGATTAATGTTTGATTTATCTAAAGGTTTTAATCTGTTACTGTGTAAATGGGTTTGGCTGTAATTTAAGGACAGATTCTAATATATCTGCTGGGTGGGGACGATAAATCAGATAGGAGTTCTATTTTTCATTTTTATTTTGTGCAATTTGCTTAACTAAGTATTTTTAATTGTTAAATATAAGAGATTTTGCAGATATATTTTTTATACATACATTGTTTAGATTTACTTATGTCTTTTTACCCATTTTATAGATAAGAATAGAATAGAGTAAAATAGAATTGAAAATCCCTTTATTGTCCCACAATGGTGAAATTCTGGTGTTTACAGCAGCAAAAAGTTAATAGAATAAAATGGTCACACAAATTATTTAACTGACTAAAGTTTCTATCATTATATTGGATTTTATTTGTTCCTGCTCCCGGTGGTTGGAACCTTTATTCTACTCTGGATTCTCATGAGTGAAGTCTTTGTTCACTTTACAATAAAAAAAAACAGTTTTGAAAAGTTCAGTATTCATCTTTTCCTGCTTTGTGAGTCAACTGTCACTGTTGCTAGGCGACAGAGCAAACAGCGGTGAAAGCCACTGAAGAATAGACCTGTTTGAATCCACAGCCTGTTGGAAGACGCAGCCCATGAATTAGAACGCAGCCATGGTCTACGTACCATGGTACGACGATGATGTCACAGGTGTTTTCTGCTTTAAAAACCCATTTTTATCANGGTTAGAGAGCAAACAGTGGATCAGAGACCACAGCAGTCTGGATGGGTAGTTGGGTTTCTGTCAGATCTCCCTCTGCACTGGAGTCCCCCCATCTGTTCCAGCAGGAGTGGTACGGTCCATGTTGCCTAGGTGAGTTAACACAGGCCCTGTCAGCACAGAGAGCTTTGTTTTCTGGGGCTCCTGTGTCGCTCTGGACGTGTTTGCTTACAGAAGATTAGGAGACGCATCTGGCTCTCAGGTACTTCCTCTGTTTGGGTCGTCTCTCTAATGGAACCAGATGGTTTCCTTAGAAGTTAAATTAGCTGCAAGTTTTCTTCATGGATGTGAATCCAGATCAAACTGTTCAGAACTTGTGTTGATCAGTTACTAACTAATCTTCATCAGATGCAGATTAAAGGACCTGTTTCTGCTTTCTAAGAAAAGAAAGAAATCACAGATTATTTTCCGAACCAGATTAAGTCATTCAGAAGACAAAACTCTTTATTTTCTAATTCTTTTTTATTACATTTCAACATCTGCTTCAAGTTTATCTTCTTTTAAGCATGTCATGTCTCATTTTTAAACTTTCCACAGAAATTTCTCCTTCAACTTCCAGCATGTTATTTAACTGACTAAGGTTTCTATCATTATATTTGATTTGATTTGTTCCTGCTCCCGGTGGTTGGAACCTTTATTCATGAGTGAAGTATTTGTTCACTTTACAATTAAAAAAAGAAAAAAATAAACATAAACAGTTTTGAAAAAATCAGTATTCATCTTTTCCTGCTTTGTGAGTCAACTGTCACTGTTGCTAGGCAACAGAGCATACAGCGGTGAAAACCACTGAAGAATAGACCTGTTTGAATCCACAGCCTGTTGGAAGACGCAGCCCATGAATTAGAACACAGCCATGGTCTAGGTACCATGGTAACGACGATGATGTCACAGGTGTTTTCTGCACTTTCCAGTTCACCAGATCATCCAGTCAAATTGATTCAAAGTTTTCTATCTAAGAAAAACCAGCTGATTGCATCGACTCATTGACACCTCAGCAATCCCTCACACTAAGCATGTTTGTAGCGACAGTGGAGAGGAAAAACTCCCTTTGAACAGGAAGAAACCTCCAGCAGAACCAGGCTCAGTGTGAGCGGCCATCTGCTG